CTGTTGAACGAAGTTTTTCGAGTCATCTTCTCCCAACCCTTCTTGCGAGCTTGGTCGAAGCCGAGCAATGATTTCGACAGCTTCGTAGCTGTTGAACAAAGTTTTTCGAGTCATCCTCCCCCAACCCTTCTTGCGAGCTTGGTCGAAGCCGAGCAATGATTTCGACAGCTTCGTAGCTGTTGAACAAAGTTTTTCGAGTCGTCTTCTCCCAACCCTTATTGCGAGCTGGTCGAAGTCGAGCAATGATTTCGACAGCTTCGTAGCTGTTGAACAAAATTCGTCTTCTCCCAACCCTTCTTGCGAGCTGGTAGAAGTCGAGCAATGATTTCGACAGCTACGTAGCTATTGAACAAAATTCGTCTTCTCCCAACCCTTCTTGCGAGCTGGTCGAAGTCGAGCAATGATTTCGACAGCTTCGTAGCTGTTGAACAAAATTTTTTGAGTCGTCTTCTCCCAACCCTTCTTGCGAGTTGGTCGAAGTCGAGCAATAGTTTCTACAGCTTCATAGCTGTTAGAGTCGACCTCGTGGCCATGTGTGATCATTTCTCTTTTTTTTGTTTGATGGATTGAGCCGGCTATATAGCCGTTTTGAAAAATTTGATATATTCTGGTAATCGTGCTGCAATCGATGCCAAAGGAGGCGATTGTCACTCCTTCTCGACTTTGGGATATCTGATTTTCCTTGGTTATCATGCCTCGCTATTTGGGTCAAACATTCTCTATTAATGGCTTTCTCAAGATAAGTCTGACACTGACGCTTTTTTCGAAATTTCGAATTTTAATTCCTATGAGTGACGCGCGTCCCGTCAATCACTGACCCCTCGTATTCTGTGCCTCATCAGGATTGTTAATGTCTTTATTGATCTAACGGTTATCATCTATCTTCATCTCCTATAAGTAGGGTTGAACTTCTTCTTTAAACACTTTCCACCTCTTCTAAATTTCCTCTACAACTCCGGCGATCTAGCAGCCTGAGCTTTTTCTCCGGCAATTTTTTCCGTAGCACCGGCATCTTGATCAATTTTCAGGCCATCATGAGTAACATGGGTAAGTGCTTTACTCTCTCTGCCACTCTATTCTTCCTTCTTTTATTTTTCTGGGTTTCTGGGCTTTTCTGCACCCTTGTGTGTTCTTCGTGTTCTTCAAACATTTCTTGAAGATTTTGTGTTGGATCTTGCGTGCACATTTCCTATTCTGCTCAACTGTTAATATGTAGTTGGGTATTAGCATGTGACCGCTTGTCGGCTTTTATCATGTCGATTCTTATCGACACCCCTTTTCTTCCTTTCTGTATTTTCCTCGAGTTGGCCTCATCCCTGCTTGCCGTCGTATCTCCAACGAATTGTACCATATTGCTTTTATTCTTAGTGCTTTTTGTCGACTTACGTGAGTCGATTGTGCTTTGTTTGATTTCGTTTCGTGATGACTGATCTTCGCTTTCGGTTCTTCTTCTTCTTCTAGCTTCCAATTCCGGTTCTTCGCCTGACACACTCGACAAAATGATCGATAGGGGCCTCGACCAATTTGACTCAAGATCAGTCGAGATAGTTGGTTATAGGATGGTTAACGCTTCTCCTTCTTCATCGCGCGCTTCCACCCCAGAAGTCGACTGGGCTGAATACGATCAGGCACTATTAGATGGTGGCTTAGTAGAAGCCTCAAGGAGTCCCCGGGGAGATTCTCCTCGTCTCGACTTGATTCCTCGAGGTATTCCCCTTAGGTTGTTAGATATTCCTGTATATAGCACCAGTCCTGTAACTGTATCAATAATTACTCCTCTTGTCGACTCTCAAGAGGTTGTATCCATAGCCTGTCCTCTGGCCAAATTGGCCACTTTAAACCCTTTTTCTTACGCCTCTACGGCTCACGTCGATAGCTTTAGGCAATTTAGCGAGCTTCCCTCCGACTGGGAGTTGGTTGCTCCAGGCCCTGACAGCGATTTCACCTGTCCCCCGCGGGTTGTCATCCTTTTTTCGTTGACCAAGTTATTTTTGGTCTCCGCTTCCCTATCCAAGTCGAGCTTTTGGAGATAAGCGATTTGTATAGTATCCTAATAAATCAATTCTCCCCAAAATCCTTGTGTATTATGATAGCCTTTATCGTTGTCTCTCGCATAGTCCTTCGTTTTTTCTCGGCCGAATTTTTCCATTATTGTTATAGTTACCGACTCCAAAAGGGAGCCCACTGCTTAATTCGCCGTTCCGGCGTCACCTTTCTCGACGACCTTTCCTCGAATGTTACGGAATGGAAGTCGAAATTCGTGTTCATTCGTCCCCCCGTCGGTGCTTATCCTTATGTAAATAATTGGATAAGCACAAAGGTTAAACAGACGAAACGATCTCGTTCCGAGAATTTCAAAAAGCTCTTAGAAGAGCTGAATAAACATACTTATAGTGCCCGTTACATAATAAGAGATCGTGAATTAGTTAATCACGCTCGAATCGTTCTGTATGATGATCTTTCTCGACTCGATGATCCTCGTAAGCTTTTTATCATTTCTCATAATGTCGATTTTCTATTTTCTTTCAGCCTTGTTTGATTATTTGTTTTCGTTTCAGTCAAAGCACTCAAGCGTTTTGAGGTGAAGAAGAAACAGCCCATGGGGCCATCGGCAGGCGGATCTGCTCCTCCTCCGCCTGGTAGGTCCGGATCGAAGTCGGCCGCTGCCGCTAAGCATTCTAACCTTTCAGGGCCTGGTAACCGTAAGAGGCCTCAAGACGACCGGACCCCCTCCCTGCTTCCCGACGACCTTAAGCGTCGTAAAGTTGACAAGGGCAAGGAGAAAGTTGTCGAAAGAAACACTGCTTCTACCGTCACTTACAAAGACGTGCTGGTCAAGATGCCTTTTCGGCTCTGGACTCACCCAGAGCCGCATAAGGTGGCAAGATACCTCCATTCTCTACTCCCCGAAGCCGACAAGGCCCGTGTCGAGGGGAATGATTACGAGCGCTCTTGCTACGTCACTCAGTGCCTTACTCGGGTATGTGCTTTGTACTTGAGTTTAACGTTTATGTTTATATATTCTTGCATTATTTCATTATTCTTTTCTTTGTGTAGTTCTTAGCAGCCGTCCTCCCTGGCCTCGAGGCGGGTACCAAAGCCCCTACCTCTTCTACCAAGGCCCTCGAGGACAAATGCGAGGCGCAGCTTAGGGAAATCGCCCAGCTGAAGAAGGAGCTGGAGGGGTCTAAAGCGTTAGTCGACAAGCTGAAGGCCGATAAGGCTGTGGCTCAGCATGACAATGAGAAGCTCCGGGCCGATCTCGAAAAGGCCCGAGACGAGGTGGTGTTGGAGAGGGATATTGGCATTGTGCAGGGCCGGAGGTCATTTCTAAGGGCCGCCATGGGATCCTCCTTTGTCGAGGCCTACCGTAAAGAAGTCGTTAAGGCTTTCTGCAACTCGCCTGAGTTTCTCGACAAGCTTTGCCCTGCCGCAGTCCAATATTTTGACCACACTTTCGACGCATGGGAGGCGGTGGTGGTGGGGTCTGAGTTTGCCGAGAAACTTGACCGCGAGGTGATGAGGCGTGCACTTCCTGACCCTGATGGTTATGAGGGTGACCCATCCCTTCCAGATGATTACCCGTGGTGGTCTGGCCTCGAGGCCAGGACTATTCAAGTCGCCAAGCTTTCTTATCAACTGGAGGCCCCTCTTACTCCCTCAATCGATCCGTCCGGACATAATCATGAGGAAGTAGTCCAGGAGAGTGATGTTTAGGGTTGTGTGGAGGCTGTCGCCTTTTTATTTTTTAGAGCCTCGCTTTTGACTCTCGTCTTTTTTTTTTCTTCTTTTTTATTGTCGCTCTTGACCCATTTTCATAATGTAAAGGTCGAGACGATTCTCTTGTAATGACTTCATTATGAATAATATCATTTTCCCCATGTATCGTCATTTTTCTTTTGTTCTTGCATTATCGTAAATGCTTAGTAGTTAGGGTGAGCTTTCTTTGATTTCAATATCCTTTGAGTGTATTTTTCATTGTCTAAATCAACTTTGTAGTTATTAAAATTGACTTTGTAGTTGTAGGCTTCGCAGTCGTAGGCTTCATAGCCTTGTCGAGATTCTACTTTGAGTTACAATTTGCTAGTTGTTTAAATCGACTTCACAGTCGTAGGCTTCACAGCCTCGTCGAGATTCTACTCGGGTTACAACTTTGTAGTTGTTCAAATCGACTTCATAGTCGTAGGCTTCACAGCCTCGTCGAGATTCTTCTCGAGACAACTTCGTAGTTGTTCAAAATCGACTTCGTAGTCATAGGCTTCACGGCCTCGTCGAGATTCTACTCGAGTTACAACTTCGTAGTTGTTCAAAATCGACTTCGTAGTCGTAGGCTTCGTAGCCTCGTCGAGATTCTACTCGAGTTACAACGTAGTTTATTTAAATTCACTACTGTAGTATGTTAAATTGTTATGCAATTCTTAAAAAATTCGATTCGAGTAAGCGTGATAGGGTCGACATAACGAAATGTAAAAGACGTAATTGAAACGTAAATTCGAAGTTTATTTCATAACTGAATTTGATTTGGAATGTTTGCTCAGTACAAAAGAGTGTGGGGCACTATCTTAAGCGTAAAAGCGTTTGAGATGGGTCACGTGCCAAGATCAAGGCAGCTGTCGACCCTCTCCATCTTCGAGTTCGTATGCTCCCCTTTTGAGAACCTTTGCGACTGTGAAGGGGCCCTCCCAATTGGCTTCAAGTTTTCCCACGTGCTTGAGGGCGTCTGCTCGCTTGAGGACGAGGTCTCCGACTTGGAAACGTCGAGTTCGAACTTTCTTGTCAAAAGCTACGCGCATCTTTTGCTTGTACCCGACGGATCGCACCCACGCTTCCTCTCGCCCTTCTTCGATTAAGTCGAGAGCTTCCGCAACTATTTCATCATTTTTTCCTTCTTCATAGAATGTCGACCTGTGAGACAGTAAGCCCACTTCGATGGGTAGGAGCGTGTCCATTCCATACACCATGTGGAACAGGGATTGGCCCGTTGAGCTTCTCGGAGTCGTCCGATAGGCCCAAAGAACTGTTGCTAACTCGTCGACCCATGCTCCCGAAGCCTTCTCCAGCCTTTTCCTCAGACCTTGGAGAATAGTTCGGTTTGTCACCTCGACTTGGCCATTCGCTTGGGGATGTGCCACCGAGGCGAATCGCTGTTTGATGCCCATGTCGAGGCACCATGCCTGGATTCGCTTGCCCTGAAATTGAGTTCCATTATCTGAGATTAATATCTTCGGGACTCCGAATCGACAACAAATGTTGTTGAATAAGAACTGTATCATTTTCTCTTCAGTAATCTTTGTCAGCGGTTCTGCCTCAACCCATTTACTGAAGTAGTCGACAGCGATTACAAGGAATTTCCTTTGCCCTGTTCCCATTGGCAAGGGTCCTACCAAGTCGATTCCCCATTGAGCGAAGGGTATCGGGCAATTGATTGTCGTCATGGTTTCAGCCGGGACATGGGGAATCGGACCGTGTCACTGGCATTTCTCGCATCCCCACACTAACTGTTCAGCCATTTTTCGTATCTTCGGCCAGTAGTAACCTGCTCTCAGGGCTTTGCCGGCTAAGGCTCGAGATCCTGCATGCGTCCCACATCCTTCATGAATTTCTTTTAGGACATGGTTCCCTTCTTCTTCGGAAACGCAGCGCAGGTGAGGCCCAATCATCGAATTTTTATACAGGATTCCATTGACTTCAAAGTACTTTGTTAGATATCGGGCAGCTTTCTCCACTTCTTGTTTATCTCCTGCAGGTATCCGTCCCTGCAGGAGTTCATGAATTAACTTCCTCCAATCGTCCTTTTCGTCGACTTCCATTGTTTGGCTAAGGACACTTCCTTCCAGGTGCATTATGGTAATATGACCTCCCATTTTTCCTTCATTGGAGCTTCCAATTCTTGCGAGCCAATCGGCTCGTTTGTTTTCCTCTCGAGAGATTTGAGTCAGCTCGAACTTCTCCAGACCTTGTATGAGGCTTTGGATTTCCTCAACATACTTCATCATTCTATCTTCTTTTACTTCACAGCTTCCCATTACCTGGCCAACAACCAATTGCGAATCAGAATGGGCCACGATTTCTGTCGCTCCGCCACCAATTGCGAGATGAATCCCTTTAATTAACGCTCCATACTCTGCTTCGTTATTCGAGGCCTTGAAGCCCATTCTGATGGCGAAGTCAAGTTGCTCGCCTTCAGGAGATACCAGGACAATCCCTAGACCCGACTGTTTGGCTGCTGAGGATCCGTTGACATGCATGATCCATCTCTTTTCTTCCCCTTTAGTTCCTTCCAGGATTAAATCCGCTAAAGCTTGGGCCTTTATAGCTCACCTTGGTTCGTATTTGATGGAGTACTCACTTAATTCGACTGTCCATTTCACTAGTCGACCCGACACAGTAGGTCGACCCAAAGTCTCTCCGAGCTG